GTGTGTGTGTGTGTGTGTGTGTGTGTGTGTGTGTGTGTGTGTCATAAAGTGAGAGGTTGTAATGAACTCAGTAATTACAGCTGGTTGAGTGAGCAGGTCAGTCATTAGTTTATCTCACTCAGCCACGCAGGGTTCTACTGGGTTCTACTGGGTTCTACTGGGTTCTACTGGATCTTTCAGAACTGTACAGGGTTCTACTGGAACACCCTGAACTGTTCTACAGTTCTGGACCAGATCTCTTCTTGACTCTGGATCCCGATGAAGACCTTTATGGTCTCGTCCATCAGCAGACGGATCAGGACTTCTGGACCGCAGCCAGACTTCAGGTTCAGTTTCAGATTTCAGAACCAGGATGACCCGATCACATGTTCAGGACTGGACCGCTGCAGAGATTTAAAGTGAAACAGAACCTGAAGTTCTGAGAGCTGGTTCTGAGAACCGGTCCGTGACTTTCAGCAGCACCACCGGGTCTCTTCAACACCAGAGTGGGTTCTTCAGCCAGTTTATCAGAACATCTGCCAGCAGCTGGTTCTGCTCACTCCAGGCCTCGCGGCGTGTTCAAGAGCTGAGACATCCGGTCCTCGGACCTGAGGAGTTCTGACCCTCCTGATGAGACCTGAGTGTTCAGAACATCTGCAGAAGAAACTCTGAGTGTTTCCTTCTTCAGAGAACATTGTTCAGAACCTGTGATAGGAACCGTTCTGGGTCTGATGTTTACTGGACTCATCAGAACTTTGTGCTCTGCAGATGAAAAATCTCATTTAAAACAGAAAAACTGGGATTTAAAACATAAAAATCTCACATGAAGCAGAGGAAAATGAAAACTAAAGCATTTAAATATAAAACTAAAGTCTAAAGCTGAACTCAGGACTTCACTGTAAAAATCTTATCTGGGAATCTCTTATTCTGAAGAGTCTCTAGGAGCTTTATTTTGAAACTCCAGGTTTAAAACTCTTCCTGGAAATGGCAGACAAAGCAGCAAAGGAAGCTACAAAACATAATATTGATGTGGAAATTAATGTCAGTCGATCAGAAATTAAGAAGATTATTAAACAGAAGTTGAAGGAAAGATGGCAAAATCTATGGGAAAAAGAGAAAAAAGGAAGATGTTTTTTAAAATACAAAAGAAAGTAGGAGAGACGAGGGATGGGGAAGAAACAGAAATATCAAGATTAAGATTTGGACATACTGGGTTAAACTGCACATTGTTTAAAATAGGAAAAAGTAAAACAGAAAAACGTGAATTTTGTGATTTGGAAGAAACAGTAGAACATGTTATGATACACTGTAAAAAATACAATAAAGAGAGACATATTCTTATATGAAATTTTGAAAAAATTAAAATAAGATACAGACAAACGTGAATTTTGTGATTTGGAAGAAACAGTAGAACACGTTATGATACACTGTAAAAAATACAATAAAGAGAGACATATTCTTATATGAAATTTTGAAAAAATTAAAATAAGATACAGACTATCGGAAGTACTAGGGATACAGAGATGCTATCCATTTATAATCCAGTTTTTATGAAGTGCTAAGTTATTTGGAAGGATATAAATTAATTAACCAGTTATAAAATTATTAGGTTTTTATTTTTTTTATTTTTGTTTTATTTTATATATTTATTTATTTTTTTTTAAGAATCTTGATCCACACTCCTTACCAGTTGGTGGCAGTAATACACCATTAAGTTGATTGTCAACCGCCAATAAATAACAGAAGAAGAAGAAGAAGAAGACTCTTCCTGTTTCCTGCTGAGTTGACCCTGTGGATCAACCCTCCTGAACTTCAAAGATCAGAGACCACATGAAGGACCTGTGGGGGCGGCCATGATGGAAACACAGGAAGAAGAAAAGCATGCTGGGTAATACAGAAGAGTCTGCTGGTCTGCTGGACTTCACTGGTTCCAGTAAAGCCCAGTGAAGTCCAGTAAAGTCCAGTAAAAACCAGTGAAGCCCAGTAAAAACCAGTGAAGTCCAGTTAAAAACCAGTGAAGTCCAGTAAAGTCCAGTAAAAACCAGTGAAGTCCAGTAAAGCCCAGTAAAAACCAGTGAAGTCCAGTTAAAAACCAGTAAAGTCCAGTAAAAACCAGTGAAGTCCAGTACAAACCAGTGAAGTCCAGTAAAGTCCAGTGAAAACCAGTGAAGTCCAGTAAAGTCCAGTAAAAACCAGTGAAGTCCAGTAAGAACCCATAAAACCCATAAAAACCAGTAAAGCCAGTGACAGCCCAGCTGCAGAGCTGTTGTAGGCTCACAGGTGAACTGTGCAGAACTTGAAGAGTTTTTCTGAGGAATGGATTTAATTCTTTTGGTCTTTAGGGCGGGACCTTAATGGAAGGGGCAGACTAATCCCTGGAACGTCTCTCTGGTCTGGTGTAATTACTGTGACCTGCTTCACTCTCAGTCGGGTCAAACTCATTTCCCATCATTTCCAGTCTTCATTCTGGTTCTGATTAACTTCAACAAACTCACTGTGGTTCAGCTGAAAACATTCATCTTTTCAAAATGTCACAGCTCAGAACAAACCGAGCTCAGGTTCTGATCACAGGACCTGAAATGGGTCTGACTCAGAACAGGGTTCTAAAGAGCTCAGGGACAAATACCTGAACAGGTTCTGTCTTCACTGACACCTCCTCCTCTTCCTCCTGTTCCTCACAGATCCCTCAGATCAGCTACGCCTCCACGGCGCCGGAGCTGAGCGACGACCGGCGCTACGACTTCTTCTCCCGGGTGGTCCCCCCGGACAGCTTCCAGGCCCAGGCCATGGTGGACCTGGTGAAGACCCTGGGCTGGACCTACGTGTCCACGCTGGCCTCAGAGGGCAGCTATGGAGAGAAGGGTGTGGACGCCTTCATGCAGCTGTCCAGAGAAGCAGGTGAGAGGAGGACCTGGACCTGCTCCGGTTCTTTGGGTGGTTCTGATGGACCCGTCGGACAAAGACGGTCTTTAAAAGGACAGTTTATTTGTTTGTTTTTGTCACGTTGAACAGATTTAACAAACAGTTTTTATGAATCAGGTTATTTTTTCTCTCAGATGAATGAAGAACAAACACTGACTGTGACCAGTCGCTCTCCAACACCAGCTGCTGGTGTTAGCTCCTGTTGCCATGGAGACGCTGCAGAGACCGTCTGCTGTCTCTGAGGAGCTCAGGCTGATGCATACTTTATACTGCGATGCTTTAAAGTTTACAGTCCTCTGACTCGCTCTTATCTGCACATGTTTGTGGTGCAGATTGATTGATTTGATTTGATTTATTGATTTAACAGGACAAGATTACTAAAAATCAAGCCTGACTCAGCATAATTGCTGTTTTACAGCAGGCTCCTGTTCAGCAGCACATAAAACACTAAGAATTACAGCATCACAATCACATCATTATACACTATAGACACAAAGACAAACAAGCATACCAAATTTCAGGAAGGCAGCATTTGCAAAATAGGACGTCTAAATATGAGCACAACAAAAAGTGTCCAGCAG